GGCAATTGTCTTCCCTCACAGGCATGAAGAAAACAGAGGCAGTCATCCAAAACCTGCATGGTCCTCTGGGCCCACACGTATACAGAACATACTCCTTTTACAAATCTAAAGTGGCAAAAGCAAGAGTATCTTTTCTAAGGCAATCGTATATTCTCTCATCTGTTAATCAATGGTTTCTCTAAACTGTGTAAAAATATGTTATTTGCATAAACTGTTTTTGGGGATTTGCATTTTGTACCCTCTAATTTAGAAATTGTGCAGGTATCCAAAGATTAAGCATTAATGTACTCAATTTAATAATGTTCACTTAAATTCTTAACATTATCATACATTGTGAATTCAGTACTTAAGCTCACACATTGAATCGTTGTAATTTATAACATAAAATTTAATTCTATTTTAAAAAATGACATATTATGATTTAATTTGGTTCAATTAATAATTTACAATTTTAAAATTATAAATCAAGTGATGTTAACTCATCTAACCAGTAAACCTAGTGGAATACATTTAGTAAATTCAAATTAAATTAGTTTTTGTTTTTAGAAAATGAAACCTAGACTTGTGTAAACTATATTAGGCTAATATTATTTTTACATTAAGTAGAAAAAGCCACATTTAAATTGTAATTATTAAGCCAGACAATTTGTCCAAAAGATCATCTTGATTGGAAATATGAATCGATGTTTTTCTTTATAAAACAGCATACCAGGTATTAACATTTTTAAGTTTTTTAAAAATAGTGGAGTACTTTTTTTTTTTTTTTTTTACAAAATACTTTAACTTATTAAATAAGACCACTAATGAAACTCAGTTAAACTGTTTTTTTCTGAGTTACAATTTGAAGAGGTAGCACATTTAAAGCACAGGGAAAGTTTTTGATTGTTTTTTAGGCAAATGAGTTTTTATTTAAATTGATGTTCTTTAATTCTTATTAAAAGCCAACTTGATTTAAAAAAAAAGCCATATATAGTCAGCCCGATTTAAAAAAAAAAGCCAACTAAAATTTCAGATTACATTATAGTTTATTAATCCCTAATGAGGTGGATAATCTCACAATTATTTATAGTCATAAAATAAGACAGTCTTGGCCGGCATGGTCGCTCGCCCCTGTAATCCTATCACTTGGGAGGCCAAGGTGGATTATATCAGGTCAGGAGTTCGAGACCAGCCTGGCCAACATGGCAAAACCCCATCTCTTCTAAAAATAAAAAGATTAACCGGGTGTGATGGTGAGCCTGTAATATCAGCTACTCAGGAGACTGAGGCAGGAGAATCACTTGAACCTGGGAAGCTGAGGCTGCAATAAGCCAAGATGGTGTCACTGTACTCCAGTCTGGGAGACAGAGCAGAGCTCTGTCTCAAAAGGAAAAAAAAAAAAAGATAGTCTCAATATTATTGCAAATTAGGAAAGCTAACTATGTGAATAGAACAGAATTTAAAGTAGGTAAAAACAGAGTCATAGGTTATCTATCTAGCATGCTGATCAGTTAAAGGAATAAAGGCATGTAATTAAGATCAGAGGTCCCTCAGGTGGCACCATTGCTGAGAATATAATTCTGATTCTCAGTTTAGTAGAAAATTCTAGTTTCCAGTGTTATATCCCTTATAGTAAACTCATTAAAGTTTAGAAAATATTAAATCTTTGTTTTATTCAGGTATTGAAAACACTCTTTTTTCCGGACTCAGTCCAATTTATAACATTTGTTTCTTCTATTCTCTACCCTTACTTAAAAAGCCCAAAGAGACAATAATTTGATATTACTAAATATTAATAATGAGCTTTCGAGTCTTTTGCATAGCGATGAGACCAGGCATTTGGTTTCCTTGATTTCCTTTCTGTCTCTTGTTAGTCCCAGACTTTAAAAGGAGTCCTTTTAAAGCCAAAAGTTACAACAGGGCAGCCATTTTATATTCATATAATCTTAACACAGGAATGCTGGTTTTGCAGACATTGACAACTAACTATTTGGACTCAAAAAAGTTTTGCAAGGTGGAAACGGGCATGCAAGCATAAAACATCAAACAGTGGATCCCATCAAAAGCCAGAAAGAAAAACACCAACTCTCTAACCCTGTGTTCTCACAGAGAATATCAACATCTTAAAATGCCAACACTCCAAAAAATGTTAATAAATAAACGAGATTTCCTGTCCTCACCACTGACTAATTACTTAATAATGTGACCAGAAAACCATAATTCAAATTCCAGCTCTGCTACCAATACACAACCAATCAGCGAAATGCAATCAGAATAACAAGAAAAAAATGTGGATGATAAACTTTGAGCATGCAAAAGCCAAAGGAAAGTGAACAGAAAACTCAAAGGGTCCAGGACCGGACAAGATGTTTCCGAGACACACATACCTGTTGCCTCCTATTGTGTGACTCATATATATAGTGTCTTGGTGGAAAATTCAGAAATAAATGATCAAGGAGTTAATGATTTGCTTTCTGTGACTTGTATGGAAGACAGAACAAGCAATAGATTATTTCATCCAACAAAGGCAAAAACATAATTTATGTAAGAGAAAGGGGAGAAGGTGGGGAAAGAACTTGGAATCCGCTTGAGAATTCTGAATTTTGTTTGCAGATTTTGGTTACACTGATTAGTTTGTTGGCAGGTAGAAGAGAGGTCAGTCTGGACGGAAATAAGGCTTTAACCAGGTCCATTACAGGCATAGAATTTAGTTGGTGAGACTCTGGAAGTTTCATTTCTTAGAGCAGTGTTTAACTCTAAGGCCTTGTCTGGCACCAAACACTGACCTTAGTTTATTTTCCAGGTGTGAAAAAAATTGCAGATTTATGATCACACAGTCCTTATGTTAAATGACTCTGTAACCTAAATTACATGATATTTATCTAATTTTTAAAAAATCTGCTGTAACATTATTTATTGCATATTCTCAATATTCTCTCTTTTTTTTATTTGTTTTTATAAGACGGATTCTTCTGTCACCCAAGGTAGTATAGTGCAGTGGCCCGATCTTGTCTCACTGCAACCTCCGCCTCCCGTATTCAAGCGATTATCCTCCCTTAGCCTCCCGAGTAGCTGGGATTACAGGCATCCGCCATTGCGCCCGACTACTTTTTATATTTTTAGTAGAGACAGGGGTTTCACCATCTTGGCCAGGCTGGTCTCGAACTCCTGACCTCGTGATGCCCCCGCCTCGGCCTCCCAAAGTGCTGGGATTACTGGCGTTAGCCACTGCGCCCGGCCCATTCTCAGCCTTTAATGGAAAAAGCAAACTTCGCTTCTTGGTGCTAAAAACGTGTCCCAGACTTGAATAAAAACAGATAGGCAAACTAATTCTAAACTTTCATCTTAAAATCTTTGCCTGGAAAAGACCAAGAGTAAAATACTTAAGGAAATGTGGAATTTCCCAGGCCATAAAGCGGTCTGCAGTTGTCTAGGAAGGGAACGTCCTCTAGGAGACGTAGTGTATGCCAAGTTTAATGGCGTCTCCTCTTCATTCTCTCATTCAACGCCTATTCCTTACTCGCCTTCAGTTCAATGTTGAATGAAGGCTTGTCAATTTACCTAGCACTTAAGAGTTGGCTTCTCCTAAAGCAACTTTTAACCTTTTGTGCAGGTTACAAGCCCCCTAAGGAGATTTTAAATTTCAGTCAGGCAACATACAATTTATGGCTAAGCACTGGGATTCAAATAAAATTTGGCTTGAATCTTAAATAGATAAGCCAGTTGAATAGAATAAGATGCATGAAGCAACATCTGGCGCAGTGCTTACATCAACGTTATTTCTGTACTGCCTTAGTCTTGTTAACAAAACTGAGACGTATTAGGTTAAAAGGCCTTATTACCAGGGCAGTTAGAATCTCGCGAGACAACCCTCAGTATACTACGAAGTTCTGCGCCAAGAAAAGAGGGCGTGTCCTTCCTTAGACAGTGACTGCCCAGGTTTCCACTCCGGTCCGCTATGTAAATATGGGTCTCAAACTAGCTTTCCTTCGATTGGCTAGTGTTAAAAATGACTGTAGGACACAGCCTATTGGCTAGAATCCGGTGGCGAAATTGACTGAGGCAGCCGTTGATGCCGGCGTCGTAAATAGCGTGACAGCTGGGTCCCAAACCTACGCGTGGCTGAGGTTTCTTCCGGGAAGAGTATATGTGTGATCTCTGGTCAGCAAAATGGCCGCTTGTCACCATTTTGAACGGTTGGTTTATAGAGTATAGACCCCTTTGTCCCTCAAGATGTAATGCTTCTTCCCACCCCACGCTGCAATTGCTACCTTCTATACCCCTCCCCACCCAAATGAAATTTACCGTCCGGTCACAGCTCTCTTAAGTGACTAGGTGGGTGGCTCTTAAAAGAGCCTTTGGGGTTAGGTGTTAAGACGCTTACTTGGCAAGTTTACTTGGAGCTGGTGTACTTGGTGACGGCCTTGGTGCCCTCCGACACGGCGTGCTTGGCCAGTTCCCCGGGCAGCAGCAGGCGCACGGCTGTCTGGATCTCCCTGGAGGTGATGGTCGAGCGCTTGTTGTAATGCGCCAGGCGGGAAGCCTCGCCCGCGATGCGCTCGAAGATGTCGTTGACGAAGGAGTTCATGATGCCCATGGCCTTGGAGGAGATGCCGGTGTCGGGGTGGACCTGCTTCAGCACCTTGTACACGTATATGGAGTAGCTCTCCTTGCGGCTGCGCTTGCGCTTCTTGCCGTCCTTCTTCTGCGCCTTGGTCACCGCCTTCTTGGAGCCCTTCTTCGGGGCGGGAGCGGACTTCGCTGGCTCAGGCATCTTAAAACACCAGAAACGTGTCGAAAGCAATGAGCGGATTTCTGCTACTTATAGGGCTTTTATGCTAATGAGGGATGGAGAGCACCTCTTAGTTAATTGGAAGACAAACTGCACAGTTGTCATCCATGGGCCGAACTATGCAAATAAGGTATGAAAGTGATGCTTTTCTATTGGCCACCTGACTGACAATTGCTACCGGCCAATCAAAAGGTCGTATTTACTCCCTGGGAAATAGCTATAAAAGCAGCCATGTTTTACATATTTTCTGATCTTGTTTGTTTTCGCGTGAGCCTAGGTTTCTTGTTTTGGTGCTTTTTTTTTGTTTGATTGCCATGTCTGGACGTGGTAAGCAGGGCGGTAAAGCTCGCGCCAAAGCGAAATCCCGCTCTTCTCGCGCTGGTCTCCAGTTCCCCGTGGGCCGCGTGCACCGCCTGCTCCGCAAGGGCAACTACGCCGAGCGGGTCGGGGCCGGCGCGCCGGTCTACCTGGCGGCAGTGCTGGAGTACCTGACCGCCGAGATCCTGGAGCTGGCGGGCAACGCGGCCCGCGACAACAAGAAGACCCGCATCATCCCGCGCCACCTGCAGCTGGCCATCCGCAACGACGAGGAGCTCAACAAGCTGCTGGGCCGGGTGACAATTGCTCAGGGCGGCGTCCTGCCCAACATCCAGGCCGTGCTGCTGCCCAAGAAGACCGAGAGCCACCACAAGGCCAAGGGAAAGTGATTTCATAGGTGTCTGAACTTCCGGAAACTATCAAACCCAAAGGCTCTTTTCAGAGCCCCCCCTACCGTTTCAAAGGAAGAGCTAACCTCACTGCTTGTAGGTACTAGGAAAAGTGCTAAGGTAAGTTAATTTTATCCTACTCCGGAGCAAAGTGTATTCCTGCTTTTAAGTTTTTTGGGAAACGCTGGTACTAAAGGTTGGCCTGTTTGTATGTAATAGTAGGTTAGCTATGTATGTAGTGTCAAGCACTGTCATATTGTAACGAAATAGCATAGTTAACGTTTTGTAAGTCGATCATAGTGCCTAACTAGTTTATACGCAGAGATGCCTTGTGGTCCAAAAACTTCTGATAACTTTAAAAAAAAATTGAAGGTAACACTAGCGTGATGGTAACCTTGTTTGGTCCTCCGACTAGTCCCCTTTCTATTTTTTAGTTTAGGCTGCAGGCAGCCTGCCTTTCGTAATTCTGTAAGATTTCTAGGTTCTGTTCCTGCCAATGTGCAGAGTATACTGTCAAAAACTTAACCAGAGAGTTGAAAGGTGTCCCTAATCTAGAACAACGTTTGACATTCAACGAAATCAAGTTAGTAATATTTTAAGAGGCTCAAGCGTCTAGATTCCCAATACGGCCAGAAAAGGGGATACAGTGAGGCCTGTGGCCTTTCAGTAAACCTTTGCTTCTGCTTACGTCTGTGACCGTAGCACTTTGGGAGGCCTAGGAGGGCGAATCGCCTGAGGTCAGGAGTTTGAGATCCACCTGGCCAACAAGGTGAAATCCCCGTAACTAAAAAGAAAAAAAATAATTACTAAAATTAGTTGGGCGTGGTAGCACGTAACTGTAGTTCCAGCTACTCAGGAGGCTGAGGCAGTAGAATCACTTGACCCTGGGAGGCGGAGGTTGCAGTGAGCCGATATCACGCTACTGCACTACAGCCTAGGCGACAGTGAGACAAAGTCTCAAAAACAAATAAAAAAGCCTCTTTCCTTCTAGGGATCTAGTGACAGTTGCCCCACCCACAGGAAATGGACTTCTGGGACCATAGACAAATTTCTAGGGAACCTATTTTCCTGGAATCTGAGTCTCGCCGAGGTTTTTTCCAGATCTCAGTTTCTGCCTTTTTTTTTTTTTGAGACGGAGTTTTGCTGTTATTGCCTAGGCTGGAGTGTAGTGGCGAGATGTCGGCTCACTGCAATGCAACCTCCGCCTCCCGGGTTCAGCGATTCTCCTCCCTCAACCTCCCGAGTACCTGTTACAGTCGTGCACCATCATCCCTGGCTAATTTTTTGTATTTAGTAGAAATGGGCTTTCACTATGTTAGCCAGGCTTCTCATAAGTTCAAGCAATTCTCCTGTCTCAACCTCCCGAGTAGCTAGGACTACAGGCGCATGCCACCACGCCTGGCCAATTTTTGTGTTTATAGTAGAGACAGGGTCTCGAACACCTGACCTCAAGTGATAGCCCGCCTCGGCCTCCCAAAGTGCTGGGATTACAGGCGTGAGCCACTGTCCCTGTCTAGTTTCTGCTGCGTTCGGAAGTAAGTGGGTAAGGAAGTCTGGGGGCGGGTAAGTCTTACTTATGCCTCAGCGCCCATCTGCTCAGACTGGCCAAACAGACTCAGTCGTTTAGTCACAGGCGTCTGGAACTCGATTGAAGCGTTTTGCATGAAATCGTTTCGAGCCTCCAAAGCTGACTGTGGCAGAAGATGATATTAATAATAATCCAAGTGGAAGCTGTTTACTGCTGACCTACTTCCCAGATACTGGCACCGATTTGGAGCCGTTCCAGGCTTTTCCGCCCTTCCCTCCCTCTACCCCTGTTTTCCCCTGCAACTACCCTCAAAGGAAAAGGTACTGTTTGGGTGAAAACAAAGTGGCATAAAAGCAAATGATCACTTTTGATGGTCACATGTTAGAATTTTCCGAGGACATTTTAAAATTAAGACGATTCTGATGGGCAGCTGGGGTAAGAATCATCAGAAATGAGGAAGGTCTGGTTTCACGGGGCTCTTGGCCAGAGTGCTGTGAGGACCGGATTCTTCCCCTAAGCATTTCCTGTGTGTCTGAGAACTTGGATCCTTAGGTTGGAATTGCTTTATATGGGCCTTGGAATCCTTTTTATTCCCAGGCCAAATTGCCTTTGATCCCACCTCCCAATAGGTGAGAAACCTTGGCCTAGGGCTTAACCTCTTCATGCCTCCATCTCTTCCTTGTATACTTTTGCTTACTTGCAATGAAAAGAGCCTGGCTCAGTAAGTGTAGATTCTGAAATCAACACAGGCTGCATAAAAGAGATGGCTTATTAGGCACTTACTGTGTGCCAGGTACATTTAACGAGCTTCCAGTGTGTTAATTCATTTAATCCAACAATTTGAGACATAGGTTTTATCCTTATTCTGAATCTTGAGATGAGCAAACTAAAACTGCTTAAAGAACTGTCTTAAGTTCCGAGGCCAGGAAAAAAATACTTACAACTGCTATTTTATAACCAATCTCCATAAGAGATTGTTGTCAGAAAACTAGAATGAGTAACCATACATAATGGGTAAACTTTGTCCACATACCAGAATGTTACCCATGGCTTCCTAATCTCTAAAGAATTTAAGAGAACGAGGAAAGATTCAAGCGACTCTACTGCCTCAGCCCCCTGAGTAGCTGGGACAGCGCCACCACGCCCTGCTAATGTTTGTATTTTTAGAAGAGACGGGCTTTCACCATGTAGGCCAGGCAGGTCTTGATCTCTTGACCTCGTGATTTACTCGTCTCCATCTCTCAAAGTACTGGGATTACAGGCATGAGCCATCACGCCGGGCCTTATTTATTTTTTCAAGATGGAGTCTTGCTCTGTCACCCAGACTGGGTGTAATTGTGTGATTTTCACTCATTGAAACCTCCTTTTTGCAGGTTCAAGCAATTCTCCTGACTCAGCCTCCCAAGTAGCTAGGACTACAGGCGCGTGCCACCATGCCTGGCTAATTTTTGTATTTATGGTAGAGAGGGTTTCTCCATGTCAGCCAGGCTGGTCTCAATCTCCTGACCTGAGATTATTTGCCTGCCTCAGCCTACTAAAGTGCTAGAATTACAGGCATGAGCCGCCCTGCCTTAGCCTGATAAATCTATTTTCAAAGGAGTAAATATGACCATTGCATCTTCAACAGAAATTGGAATATGGCACATACATTTCAACATAAAATGAATTATCAGGCATTGAATTAGTATAGTCATATTGAAGAAACTTCATTGGTTGTTATTATTATAGTTGTTTGAGTTGTAGTTAGGGTAAAGTAAGGGAGCCAACATGTCTGAGAATTTACAACTTGTACACATTGCCTACAGTTGGAATAAAGTGTGTTAAACTCCAACCTCTTTGGTATGATGTTGGGACCTAAACTTTTGCCACATCCTTCATTGTCTTAGCATACTTAGGCTGCCATAACAGAATACCAGAAAGTGGATGGTTTAAACAACAGAATTTTTTTTTCCCCCAGATCTAAGAGGCTTGGAACAGAAAAATTTTCTCATACTTTTGGAGCCTGGAAGTTTAAGATCAAGGTGCCAACATAGTTTCTGGTGAGTTCCTGTCTTACAGATGGCTACCATCTCACTATGTGTTCATGGTGTTTCTTTGGTGCCTGAGAGGAGAGTGAGGTCTAAGTTTCTCCTTATCTTTTATAAGGACACCAGCCCTACCGGGATTAGAGCCCTATCCTATGATCTTTGGTTTCGTGTACCTCCTAAAGGCCCTATCTCCAAATACAGTTACACTGGGGTTCAGGGTTGTAACATATGAATTTCAGGGGACAGTTTAGTCTATAACATTCTGTCCCTCGCCTGCCAAAATGTATGTCCTCCCATGCAAGATAAATTTATTCCATGCCAACAGCCCCCTGAAAGTCTTAACTCATTTTTGCATCAATTCTAAAGTTAAAAGTGTTACCTAAAAATCATCTAAATCAGGTTATGGGTGATAATCAATGTATGATTCATCTGGAGACATTCATTTTCCAGCTTTGAACCTGTGAAACCAGAAACATTACATGCTTCTAAGATATAGTGGTGAAACAGAAATAGGATAGACATTCCCATTTGAAATTAGAGAAATAGGAAAGAGGGAAGGCGTAATGGGTCCTAATCAAGTCCAAAACCTGCAAAGGCAAATTTGGTTAGATTTTAAGAAAACTCCTTTTTGGCTTGAATTCCTGAGTTTCAGACCCACTGGGGTTGCAGCGTCACCTCTGACTCTGTGGGTGGTCTACTCTATCTGCCCTGCCTGACGTCTCATTCTTTCAGTTTGGTGGGGTCCCACCCAGGCAGCTATCTGTGAGGGACTCTCACACAGTTCTACAGGGCATCCTGTGAAACTTAGCTGGAGTCAGCCTTAACTACCTGTTTCTACCCCCACCCTACCCTATCTGTACTCTGAGTCTGAGTTGAAAGTGGCAGCCCTGGTGGCTCATGCCTGTAATCCCAGCTCTTAGGGAGGCAGAGTCCAGTGGATCACTGAAGGTCAGGAGTTCTAGACTAGCCTGGTCAACATGGTGAAACCCCAACTCTACAAAAAATACAAAAATTACCTGAGCATGATGCCAGGTGCCTGTAATCCCCACTAGTCAGAAGGTTGAGGCAGGAGAATCACTTGAACCTGGGAGACAGACGTTGCAGTAAGCTGATATTGTGCCACTGCCCTACCGCCTGGGTGACGGCATGAGACTCCCTGGGCAACATGTCAAAACCCCCATTAAACAACAACAAAAATATTAGCCAAGGTATGGTGGTGCATAACTGTAGTACCAACTACTTGGGAGGATTGCTCGAGCCCAAGAGGCAGAGGTTGCAGTGAACTGAGAATGTGCCACCGTACTCTAGCCTAGATGACAGAGCAAGACCCTGTCTCAAAAAAAAATAATAATAATTGTTCAACCATACATCTTTAAGGAAAGCTTTCTCAATTTTTACAATATGGATAGATTGAGAAATCTATTCCAAATCTCCAATTTCTGATTGTGTTTTGCTTAAAAATTGCTTCTTCATTTAGTCTCTTTCCTCTTACATTTTACTATAAGCAATTAGGGGGACCTAAACCATACCTTCAATACTTGGCTTACACATCTCTTCTGCTAAATATTCAGTTTTATTGCTTATAATTTCTACTATCCAGTAAACACTAGAATGTAAATTCAGCCAAGTTCTTGACACATTCTAACAAGGACAGCAATTTCTGCAGTGTCCAAAAACCTGTCCCTCATTTTGATGTAAGGCCTCACTAGAGTTGTTTAATGTTCATATTTTAACCAACATTCTATTCATGATCATTATGAATCTAAGTTTCTAAGAAAATGGAAGCTTTCTCTCCAGCTTGCTTCCTTTCTGAGCCTTTGCCGGAATTGACTTTAACGTCTATGTCTATCAATAATCCTTTCACAACTGGCTTTTTCTATCATGAACCTTAAACTCTTCCAGCCTTTACCAAACATCACCAATTTCCTAAGCCACTTCCCCATTTTTAGGTATTTGCTGTTGCAGCATCCCACTCCTTGGTACTAAAATCTGTGTTAGACAGCTTGGGTTGCCATAACAAAATACCACAGATTGGTGGCTTAAACTAGAGACATTTATTTTCTAACAATTCTGCAGGCTGGAAGTCTGAGATCCAACGTGCTGATATGTTCAGTTTCTGGTGAGGACGTCTTTCTGGCTTATAGATTATTTCATAGACACTGACAGATAACCATATCCATTTTTTGTTGTGTTTGCTAATAATCAGAGCTAAAAGTGTAGGGCTCTAAATTTACACTACAACAAATTGTCCTGTCATTAAGCATTCACCTCAAAATGACCAGACTGAGCTGTGCTTTAAATTTTAGAAATCTGGAGCTTGGTTCTGATCCCTAGTCTGTTCTGTCTCATTAATGGCTTTTTCAATAACTACAATTCCAAAGACTGACTATATGCAGGAAACTTCCAATTTTACATCTCTAACCTGTCCCTTTCTGAAATGCAAATGTGTGTACTTCCATTTTTGCTTGACATCTCCATTTAGAACTCTAATAGGCCTTTCACCCTGAATACTTTGAAGACATAAGAATAAACATTGTCCTCCTTAAGCCTGTTATCCTTTCCAGTTCGTCCGAATTCCATAACTGACACTACCATTTACTCAAATCAACATTCTAAAAGTGGCACTTGCTGCATTTCCTTCATCTCTACAAACCCGAAGTATCTGTGAGTCAGGTCACTTGCATGTTTAATACATGCAATTAAATTATTTCTCCATACTTCTTACCAAGACCTGAGGGTCCACTCAGTGACCACCTCTGACCTCTGTTCATCTCTTCTGCTGTTCTCATTTGCTGTTCCAGCCACAATGGTTTCTTCTCACCAAGGACAGGCATTTCACAGATTGAGCTGATTCAAGACGTTTACCTTCTTGGGCTCAATCTCTGAAATGCCTGTTCTTTGATGTTTCTTCTGGTGAGCTCCTTTTCACTCTCAGGTCTCAGCTCTTTTTCAGAAAAAAAGTAGACCACCAAAATAGATTAAAAATCTGAGAATATGAGGCCGAGGCGGGTGGATCACGAGGTCAAGAGATCGAGACCATCCGGGTCAACATGGTGAAACCCTGTCTCTACTAAAAATACAAAAATTCAGCTGGGCATGGTGGCATGTGCCTGTAATCCCAGCTACTCAGGAGGCTGAGGCAGGAGAATTGTCTGAACCCAGGAGGCGGAGGTTGCGGTGAGCCGAGATGGCGCCATTGCACTCCAGCCTGGGTAACAAGAGCGAAACTCTGTCTCAAAAAAAAAAAAAATCTGAGATTATGAAATAACAAATATCAGATGACATTTTAGGAGACCCTTTGTATACCTAATGTGTGTGTGTGTGTGTGTGTGTGTATGTGTGTATGTGTGTATTTGAGAATGAGGGTGGGAGGGTGCTATTACTCAGCGAGAAGGACCTACTGAAATGGATTAAAAATCTGAGAATATGAAATAACAAATGTCAGATGACATTTTAGGAGAACCTTTGTATACCTAATTGTGTGGGGGGGGAGCAGGGGGAGGGTGTCATTATTAAGTGAGAAGGAAACACAAAAGCCATATAGGAAAAGACACAGACTATGTAGGCGAAAAAGTAGCTTAAGGCAAAATATATATAAAGATAGTTGTAAAAGGAGCAATAAATTTGGATAAAGGATTTCAAAAACATATAGGGTTAATAACCGCAATTCACAAAGAAGAACTGCAAGATGTTAGTAAAAAGGCAAACAACATAATATAAAAAATGATTAAACGGTATTTTATATCATGTATTAAATGGCCATTACAAATGAAAAACAAGAAGCAAAACCTTCCCAGTAGTTCAAAATTATGCATATTAATACAACAAAGGAATACTATTTCTTACCCATGAACAGACAACCACTAAAGCTAATACTCAGGACTGCCAAGTATGAGGAAGAATTGCCATTGTCATATAATTTTTGAGAACTTTTCCTGGAAATATTTAGTAAATTTCATTAACAGACACTTGGAAAGAGAGAATGTCAACAATCTAGAATAAAGGCCCCACTAGGTAAGGTTATGTGTAAGGACAGTCATGAGAGACCACGCATGGTGGATCATGCCTGTAATCCTAGCATTTTGGGAGGCTGAGGCTGGAGAATCGCTTGAGCTCAGGAGGCAGAGGTTGCAGTCAGCCAAGATGACGTTACTGCACTCCAGTCTGGGTGACAGAGCGAGACTCTGTCTCAAAACAAAACAAATCAAAACTAATGAGGGAAAAACAAACCTAATCACACATGTAAAACATATATATAAGAATACCGTTGACAAAGTGAGACATCCATTTACTCTATGGCATGTTACGCAGCTACACAAAACAATAATCAAGTGAAATAGACTCGCACACAACTGATGAGAGTAAATAGAGAACTGTATGCCAGAAAACGTGTGACATTAATTATCTAAGAAAGCTGAAACTAAGTTGGTGCAAAAGTAATTGTGGCTCTTACAATTACTTTGCAGCAAAAACTGCAATTACTTTTGCACCAACCTAATAGAATGGGATGAGGAGAGGTTAACCTTTATGAACACTTCTGTGTGGACTGTTCAAATAACCAAGTAAGTTTTTTTGTTGTTGTTTTTTGAGATGGAGTTTCACTCTTGTTGCCGAGGCTGGAGTGTAATGGCGCGACCTTTTCTCACTGCAGCCTCTGCCTCCTGGGTTCAAGCAATTCTCCTGCCTCAGCCTCCTAAGTAGCTGGGATTACAGGCATGCACCACCACACCCAGCTAATTTTATATTTTTGGTAGCGATGGGGTTTCTTCATGTTGGTCAGGCTAGTCTTGAACTTCCAACCTCAGGTGATCCTACTGCCTTGGCCTCCCAAAGTGCTAGGATTACAAGCGTGAGCCACCACGCATGGCCAAGTATTTATTAATTTTTTTGACTTAAAGTATAAAGAGAGATGCAAGAAAGTAAGCTTTCTCCTTTTCCCCCTTCAAATTATGTTCCATTACTCATCCTGTTTAGATTCTTTACAATGCAGTTTGAAGTTTTATCAGATTTTT